AAAAAAAAAGTTAAAGTAAAATTCACCAACTCCGGTAAACTATTATGTTGTCTTGATAGACAAAATTTAGTGACTGAATTGGTAACAGTCGCAGTACTCTAATTTTGGTCCAATTTTTTTCGTCCAAAAATATAATTTTTTTTTTTTGGTTTAGCAGTTACGAGTGTCTGAATTAACTTATGTGCACCTCAACTAATTCTCTCTCTAATATGACAAAAATAAGACTTCCACGCCCAAGCATTGAAATTAAATATTTATAAGGAATAAGAAATTATATTTTTATTAATGACAAGGAAGTTCTTTTTTTGGCAACAATCTCTCTTTTTTCTCTAAAAGTCAAAATAGAATTTGCTATGATAAGGGGGTACTTGTTGTCTTGATTCAGAGAGAGAGAGAGAGAGCACCGCCAGATACTACTCCAATCCCTCATGAACATTACCTGACTACCACTAACACCATTTATATCCCACTACTGATCCAGTGCCAACCAAGGCCGCAACCTGCCACCACCACCACTTACAACCAAGTGTCGCGGATGAGTTACTTACAGACCAAAAAAATGGCTGATGTAATCCAAAAAAAGAAAAAAAGAGCAAACAATTTTTCAGATCGAAAAATTGGGCCGTGATAATCATACACACGGGCTGGTTTAGGATGATTGCAAGGACCTAACTCAGACCAGGGAGAGTTCTGTCCATGTACAATCCAAACTCGGATTATCGGCATATTTCTTTAACAATAATGTTATTTGAATTTAATTTATTCACTTAATTTATCACAATCATTAAATTGATTATGGGTCTCAACAAATATTGAGGTCTACTGTTAAAAGTTGTTTTGAAGGTAGGTGCATGGCAAACCACTAATACACCCGTTCAGGATTTTACTTAACAAACCAAGGTCAGAGGTATATTAGCAGCAATATTTCTTCCAATATACATATTGAGACTTCAAACGAGGCCCATTTCATACAAGGTGTGTCACTCAATTATGCATGAAGTGTTATCCACCAAAGAAGAAAAATGACGAAAAAACATTTGCTGAACCAAAAAAACCTTACAACAATTGGGTCATCAAGTGGGCTGGCAAGGAGCAAGGATAAAAAACCCTAATACATTCGAAGGAGCCATGAATCCTGGGAAGGGATGGTTTATTTCTTCCTGGTACCAATGAGTCCATTGCTGCGGTCATATGCGTTGTATCATCCTCCTAGAGGTGTCTGGGGATGAAAAGCTGGCATTACATGTCTAGATGGATGGAGTGGAAAGATCAGATGCTTAGACATGGAACTACTGCTCCGCCCATTCTTCAGATTGCAGTATCTCCCTCCCTGTTCCGCTTAACTGTTCTAACATGATAACTGAGCAATCCGGCTCAACATCAATGCCAACTTTCATCTAAAAGTCCTCTCAGCATGAGACCATTTTTACCACAATTAATCATCAAGCTAAAAAGCCACAATTCAGCTATACAGGGAATTAACAGGATGTCTAATTCCGTACCATAACTCCTTTTTTCTTCCAACAAAAACGTGACAAAATGAAAATAGAAATTTACTGTTTTATTATTTTTGCTGGTAGAAATGCATCAAACAATGGTACAAATCACTTCCCGTATGGTACCAACATTTTGTGTGGGTATCATAGCCTTATCCAACCGATAGAAACCTGACAGCAATGCTAAACTAGGCCATCTGTGCCTGAATTCAAGGCAAATGAAGGCCATTGACACCCGAAGTATTATTCTTATTTGTGCTTCATTCTATCTAGACCATGAACTTGATGGCCCATTGAGCCTCACAAAACAGGGGCAGAAAAAAGGAGAACCAGAATGAAAGCACAGAAGTGACGTCATTCACATTATCAGGAGCATACTCTGTGAATTAATCACTGTATGAAGAAAAAAAATGTGCAAAAGTTTTAAGAAAGAAAGTGAAATAAAAAGAACAAGGAAAAGAAAAGATAACGCACAAAGGAATAACATCAACTATGAAACAGGAAAAAAAACTTGGGAGCTGCCACCACCAAACCATTTACATTTGGACTGTCATATATACTCATAAAAGCTCTTGAAGGAAAGGCCGTTCTGAAAGAATTTAACTTACTGCTGTTCCATTTGCAGTTTGGCAAGCCTGGAATTAGTTCTGTAAAGGTCCAATAAATGGTGTTGGCAAACCTAGGTTTAATTGGTATCAGAGCTACGTTCAATTTAAGAACAAAGGATGCACAAGGAAAAACAGAAAAAATAATTATCATGTGAACAAAAGGCACTGTAAAATATTAACCCCATCCTTGAGCTCTTTAAATGTTATTTCTACTACCATTGCAGTTCGACTAAATGATCTCTTTACACAAGCCCCTGCATGCTAATTTTTTTACACCATGAAATAATCAACAAAATTCTTGCTGTGCAGAAGCCCCTTCATGAACTCACACATATTTGATAAGAAAATGCCACTGAATATGTGAAGTTAAGCTTATGTAGCATGTGTTTGAACAAGAATATATCAGATGCAATCATTGTCTACACTGCACAGCCATGGCATCCCATGCAAAGAAAAATGGAAGGGACATTACATAAATGATCAAAACTGATATTTATGTATCAGTAGGTTTTGTGCCATTGACTTTTATTTCCAATTGAAAGTTCATAACTTCACAAAGAATAAGGACACATGTCAATCTTGTACAATACCCACATATGAAATGAGCATATCTGATAAAGACATGTTTAATCTCGATAACTTTAAATGCCTATCAATGTTTAATTGTGCATAATAGCCAGATAAACTAATGACGAATGCAATAGTTTGATTATGAAAACAATCTGACAAAAAGGTGAACTGGCCAAGTACAGCTGAGTATACTTCATAATTGGTGTTGCCTTTCTACAGCTAAAAAATGAACTGCTTTTCATGATCCACAAAATACAAGCCAAACGCCTTCTGATTCTATTGTTTACAATACTTCTCAACAGCCTATTAAAGCTTTCACAGATCGAGTGTTTTCAGAGTAATACTTATACGGTGCAATTCTTTCTTTTAAACTACAATCAACCCACACTCACATTGCATTTGATATACAAATTTCCAAAGGAGTGGGTACCCAAAAGCATGCTTTTCTCACTCCCTCTCCCAAATTTCTCTCTTGAAAACCCTCTTATCAAATCCCACTCTCATTTTGCAATAAATTCTTCACTAGTAAGTTCAAGCACACAAAAAACCTGTACAAAAATCATAGCTCATGGAATTTTATAGTTATCATTCTGATTTTCATCTCTTATCAAATCCCACTCTCATTCTGCAATAATTGTTCATTGGAAACTTCAAGCACAAACAAAACCCGTAAACAATTTATTGCTCTTGGAATTTTATAGAAAAATCATTCCAATTTTCATTCTTCAAACACTCAATTCCAATTTTCATTCTGCAAACACTCAATCTGTTAACTTTTAGGTTTGTGAACTTTTTTCCTCTCCATGCACAATTTGACTCCTGTATAACAACAAATGTAGAGAAACTAAGACCACGCACTACAATGCTATTCGTTTGATTACTCATGGTCAGATAACTGAAAGAAGATATAAAGCCAATCATATCAGACATAAAAATTCACAAATTCATTAACAGTTAACGTATATAAAGTACAAAGCTTAATCAACACTACCTATGGTTTCAACATTTTCTTCCTGTTCTTCCCTCCTTACTCTCAAAATTATCATTCAATCACGAAGATGGAAACACATCCTTAACCGCAGAGGCCGCACTCAAATAATTCAAGGTATTCCTCAAAGTCTCCTTCTCTCTCTTCAACCTCGTCGTCGTGTCCTCCAATTCCAACAACGCCTGCTGCTCTCTCGGCGCACCCTCAAAAGTACTCCCCACGAAGAACGAAAATGGTGTCGGAAACAAATTCCTCCTCAAATCTTGCACTTCCTTTTCTGGTTTACCATTCAACCTATTCGATAATCGAATCACATCTTTCATATAGGTTTCGACCTCATTCGCCAATGTATCCAAATCTTCTTCTCCATTTCCCGATGGCCTATCCTCTAGCCAGTTTACTTCGGCCACTAAATAAGGTTTGGTACGGGCAATTTTTGTGACCCTGAAGCGTTCTTGACCTTTACAGATCAAAAAGAAACGGTCATCGACGAGACGTTCGTGCTTGACGACCTCGCCGACGCAGCCGACGTCAGCTGTGCCGGTGGTGCTATCGGAGTATATGACGCCGAAGCGGAGATCGGTTTGGAGGAGAGTGTGCATCATAATACGGTACCGGAACTCGAAGATCTGTAAGGGGAGGATTGCACCTGGGAAGAGGACGAGTGGGAGAGGAAAGAGTGGAAGCTCCACGACATCGTCGGATTGGGGTGAGCCCGTGTGGTGTTTCTCGGAGAAGGATGAGGCAGAGCACCGGAGGGAATAGGGTTTTCGTTGCCGTTGGTGGTGGTGGACGAGTGGATGTGGATTGGAGAGAGATTTAGGATTTGGGTTTAAGGGGTTATTAGGTTTTAAGTAGGGTTTGTGAGTGAGGGATGAAGAAGATGGGGAGTGTAAGAGTTGAGGCAGAGCCATTGAGAAGTGTTCAGTGTAGAGAGAGAGAGATAAAGTGGTTCAGAGTGACGAAATGAACATTAAAGAGAGAGGAGAAAAAGAAGAGGAATGGTGATTTGCCATATTCAAGTCCCTTTGGGTGATTTTCTCCTTGTATCTCTCCCTATCAATGGAATGAAGGTGAATCTGGTTGGAGGAATTGGATTTGGATTTTGGCAAATGACATTTTGCACTCTTAAAATTCAATTTTTTTAAATTATTCCCTCAATTAAATTAATTAGTAGTAATGTGGTCTCAATTATAACATCCGTTGTAATTTTCATTAAATTGACAATCACGTGAAATGTAAGTGAAAAGACAAAGGATCATAATTTAATAAAAGTCATCGCATGCATTTCACGTGATTGTCAATTTGACAAAAATTACAATTTTAGGCATAACGTCCACGTCAATTTTTATTGAATTGATAAGCACGTGAGATACAAATGAAAAGGAGAAGTGCCATAATCCGACAAAAATCATCACGTGCATCTAACGTGGCTGACAATTCAATGAAAATCATAATGAACATTATGGTGGGGTCACATTGTTACTAATTAATTTAATTAGAGGTATAATTTGAAATAATTAATCTATGAGAGTATAAATTGCAATTTTTTTAATCTTTTTGGGGTGCAAGCTGATATTTGCCCTTTGGATTTAGAGGGAAGAAGATAAGTGTTGTGGGGAGGTTTTGGAGATGTGGTTTAGAAGTTTACATGTGGAAATGTGTTATCTGGAACTTATGTGGCACGTGCCACCCTTTGAAGAAAAAAGAAAACTATGGTGTCCAATGTCTCCTAACTCACTTTCACGTTTCCATGAATTTTTATTTCCCCGTTTTTTTTTTTTTTTTAGTGGTGTAAATAATTTTCTAGTGGGAGAATGGCCATTTTTGTTTGGCTAAGAAAAGAGAAGAAAACATATAAGAGATTTGGCATTAAAGATTGAATATTTCTTTGCAAATTGAATAAATTAATATATAGACATATGAATTGGAGGATCATCATTGCATATGATATAATTGCTTGGTCTATATGTAGCTTTTAGCAAACCTTCTCTCCCAGCTTAATCGAGAATTTGCTTATCTTACCCACCTCTTTTTTTTTCTCTCTATCCAACAAGAAATTTCTCTACGTCCAGCACATTGAACTCATCCTCAATGAGAGTAAACTCATATACTTACAATCACCCACACAAATCATAAATATCAGATAAACTTGAGAGTCACCAACTAAGATCAAATCCAAGCCTTTCGGGACCCAAATCCAAATCCATACCACTAAAGTACTCATGTAGGGTTAAAAGTCACTTTATCCCAAATTCTCTCATTAATCCGTACTAAAGTTTACTTTTTTACTGGCCCCAAACATATGGGAGTCCAAAAATATTGCCCAACTCTCATCAACAAGGATACTCTTTTTAAGTATCTAAATCATCTTATGTTTTAAATTACTAGAGTATTTTGCTGAAAATCACTCCAGATTTGTTCAAGTTTATTAATTGGTAAGTTGAATGGTGATACTTTATTTGGACTTCCATTTAGAGTGTAACAATTTGCTTTGGAGGTCATCGAAAATAGTATTGAATCATCTGCAAACAACAAAATGTTTAATACTGCAGGGACAAATCCTTCTACTTCTTCAAACCTTGAAGCTTGTTCGAATTTATTACCAATATCCCTCATTTATCAAACTTATTTATTGATTTACTGTCGTTTTCAACTTATTTACCAAACTACCGTTGTTTTAAAATCGGATTTGACAAATCCGACTTCAATTGAAAAACAGATTTGATAAATCCGACTTCATAAGGAAAGCGAACATACAAAATCCGTTTTTATATGGAAAGTAGACATACCAAATCCGCTTTTATATGGAAAGCAGACTTACCAATGTGCTAGCCTTTATATGTATAGTTGTGTTGATCGTCAAAAAAGTATTTGACTATTTATTGAATACGTTTGATCTCTCTGATTCTATATTCTTTGTGAATAAATTACTCACTTTTATTAGACGTTAAAAATCCACTAATAGATTCTATCTAAATTTATTAGTTATATAACCCGTGCTTAAAGGCATGATAAAATATAAAATTTGAGCATCCAAAAAATCAATCCCACTATATTAAAATTTTTCAAAATATATTAATTACAAATTAATCAAATATTAAATAATTAAATATATGATAAAAATGAGTGATTTATTTTTTAGGGAAAAAATATATAAAGTTGAGACAAAAAACGGATTTGGTATGTCTGCTTTCTAAATGAAGTCTGATTTGTTATGTTCACTTTCCTTATAAAGTCGAATTTGTCAAATCTGTTTTCCAAATGAAGTCGGATTTGCCAATTTTGCTTTCCAAATGAAATCGAATTTGTCAAATTCGTTTTAAAACAGTAATAATTTGATAAATAAGTTGAAAATGATAGTAGATTGATAAATAAGTTTGTTAAATGGAGTAGGTCGGTAATAGATTCAAGCTTGTTCTGTCTACTGTTTGGTTTATTAAGCAAGTAAGACATTTACATTCCATTAAGAACAAGGATGACAACAAAGGATTCTGGTCTCGGTCCTTTACTGGGAATCACCTTATCTTTCTATTTTTTTTTTTTTTGGGTACAAGGAAGAGATCCCTGACTTTTTGTTAACCTTCCCTCCATTCTGATATGGTTACTGTTTAATTAATAAAAGTTTATTGTTGTTTCTTATTAACAAAATTAAAAATAAAACAATCAATTAAAAACATTAGTTTATATTAAATTAATTGAATTTAAATTCAAATTAAATTCCAATTACAATCAAAATCTGATTCTTTGACCAAGCCAGTACAATGACTCTGCCATTATCGGTGTCCCCACCATGTATGTGGGTTATCTTGTCCCCGGCCTTATGCATCCCACTTGTCTGCAACTTGAACGGCTCGCATTCACCGCATAATATACACGTGTTATTAATTTTATATGAAGCCTATTTTTAGTTAAATGTTCACATTGAATTACATAATATTAAATATGACTGTAATATTCTGTTATTATTATTATTTATATGTGTTATTATTATTCAATAACAAATCAACACGTGAATCTACTAATTATCCTATTTATGTAATAAAATAAATATCAAGTGAAATTCATGTTATCCAATAAGTTTATTATAACATCTTCAATCTTGAATCAAATATATACTTAAATTTAAATTTGAGTGGCCCAAAAAACTTCTCCAATTTTTTACTCAAATTTATACTAAATCAAGACAAAATTTATTCTGAACACAAATTGAAGCAAATTCAAATTCTATACTAAATTTCTAACAGTTACTTTTTTACTTATTCAAAATTAAAAAGACTTATTCGATAACTTGTTCTCTGCCTTTTCTTACCTCTCTGTATTACGTTGCTTCCATCACTGATTACCACCGAAGTTTTCACAAATCATATGAAGGCATATAGGTAAGTTTTTTCTCATCTTCTATCTTCTTGATTTCTTGTATTTTTTAAAACCCTAATCTCACTCATCTTTTACACTATATAAACTCTAAGCTTACCCATCAAATTTTTCTTTAAATTTTTTGAGTTAAACACTATTAGTAATACAATTTCAAGCCATCGATCCTTCTTGAAATTTTACGCCTTCATTATCCACAAAATTTAGAAATTTCGTCATTTTATTTATTCGCTCTTCAATTTTTATTAAAAATGTATATTTTTGTGTTCTTTAGACTAGGACTATGTCAAAATAGTTATATTTTTTTTCCTTTTCTTTTTCTTCATCTGAATTTATAAAAAATAATACTCCCTCCGTTTCTAAATATTTGTCGTTTAAGGTTTTTGCACAGGGATTAAAGAAACTATTAAATGTTGTAATATGAGTAAAAAATAATTATACAAGACTAAAATACCCTTATTCAATATGTATTGGGAAGTAAAAGAATATGAAAGACACTTAGCCTCCATCTAATCTAATGCATTGAAAAGTTAAGGGTAAATTTGGAAGAAAAAAATATTAATTATGCTTTGATTTCATAAAACGACAGATATTATGGAACAAAAAAAATTATATAAAACGATAGATATTTAAGAACGGAGGGAGTAATGAATTAGAACAATTTTAGAATTCTGTGATGATTTCTCTATTCATATGTAATGTTGTATACATATTTATTTATTTATTTTTTAAATTACATATTTATGGAGATATATGAAAGTTTTATTTATTTTACAAATATTATGATTTGAATGATACAAAAAAATAAGTTTTGAGACAATAAGAGAATTTTTTAAAAGAATTGAGTAGATTGAGTTTCTCATTGAATTACTCTATATATTAATGTTTTTTACTCAAACTTGTGTTTAAATTTAAATCATGCTTAGAGGTTCTCTTTCTGCCACGTGTACCATTCTCGTACCCTCAATTTATTCGTGGGCCGACAAAGACCACACAGCTGCTCACAGGAAAAGCACCAAATGACGTACGAGAACACGTCACGTTCACATAGAAGCGCTTTCCAACCCCGTCAATAATAGAGCGAGAGAGAAAATTTTGGGTGGGTTTAACATAGCACCTGGCACACTTATGTTGTGTACAAAACCAATGAAAAAATGCCACATCATCTCTTTGTCAGGGAAAACCATGTCATCAAATAAAGATATTTGGCCTTAACAGAAGTTAACGTCGGTTAACTCTGTAAAATGACAAGACAGTTGTCAACTCTTTTTTTTTTTGATCAGACAATTGTCAGCTAAAAAAAATGCAGAGCATGCTTCATTATTACTAGTTCAAATTTTAAAAATCAAGTTGTTAGACAAATGAGTTATTCTGTTTTTGAACGAATTCTTCTATTCTATATTTTCTTGAAGCCCTCATGTCCTGAAACAAAAAGACCTCTCTATGGCTACAACAATTTTCAACCCCTCGTTAACCACCACCACCGTCATCTCCACAAACTCCTTCGTTTCATTGCTCACAAAATCCATTGATGCCATTGTTGTCAACTCTTTGTCTCCTGCACCTACCCAACCTCCTTACACAAAGAGGTAATCTTAGAAAATTTATGGGGATCTTAGTTTCCCAACCTCCAATAGTTGCGAGAGACAATATCGGGTTGAGTAGAAATGAGACGACTTTGTGTTTGAATGTATATATATTCGCATAGTTGTTTAATTTTTTTTTTTTTTAACGAAGTGTGTATATGTGTTGTTAATGGACAAGGTAATGTGGATACGGACACTGCCAAATGCAGTTCAAGCACGAATCCTATCATTTCTTGCATTTGAGCACCGGAGGTTTGGCACGCGAGACTTGTCTAAACTCACCCAAGAAATGTTGAGTGAGAGTGATGAACTGGATTTTTGGGTAAAGAGAGCTGCACACCAGCTGTTTGACGTAGTGTTTGACTCAAATTATGAGTGGGTATGTTATTTGAATTTGGATTCATAGCAAGGAAAAGTGGATGATGATTTTGGGTCGTTGCTAGATTGGCTTAAGGATGCGACAAATACCTGTGACTTGGTTCTTCCTGGCTTGCTATAACCCTTGATCAATTAAATTTGAGAATGTCATTTAGTAGTAGTGATGAAATGAAGATTCATTAATTAAAGTTGAAGAGGATAAAAGTTTAAGCAAAAAACAAAGTTTGATTCTTCATCCATTGGTTTTCACTGAAGCTCTGGAGCTGATGCAGAAGGATTGTGGAGGACAGAATGGAGAAAGTTGTTTTTTTGTTGTGTGAAAAAGAAAGTTGTATTTGGTGGTGACAAATTCTTGAATAAACTTCAATATTAGGTGTAATTACATTTTGAGTCATATATATATATGACCAAAAAATATGTATACATCGACTAAATCCACGCAGAGAAAGATGGAAAGAGTTTAGCCTGAAGTTGATACCGATTATTTGCAAAGGTTTTTTTTTTTTGCAACTCTTCCCTTATATTTGCTGATTTTTTTTTCCGTTGCATAAAATCTTTCAAAAAAAATGGATTAGGAACGCAAATGTGGGGAGAATCTGCTGGTGGTTTTTAATCTTTATCAATTCCATGGTTTTAGGTTCATATCCATTAATTATGCTAAAAAATCTCATGGACTATAGAACTATTAGAAAATTAACACAAAATTCTCAAACATGTGGGACACAACAGTAATAAAAAACACATGCAAAAAAAAAAAAACAATCATACGCACAAGACAATATTTACATGGTTCGATAATTTATCTACGTCCACGAAGCTGCAGGGGTTTCACTATTCTCAAGAACGATTATAGAAAGGGCAGCGGTTATACAGAATCAATCAACCCTAATCACCCAAAAGAAACATGTTTTATATAGTTTACACTAGGCTATAAATAAATAGGCCCTGTCGGCCCAAACCTTCGCTCCATAAACTAAGCGTCAGAAAATTTGTCATTAAAAATCACGCAATATTTTTTGGGTCGGATTATCATCTGAATCAATATAAAACTAGACTCCATAAAAATCCAACAAAAACTTCGCGAAGGAATAATAGCCCAACGATACCCTTGGAACAATTAATTTATTCTTAAAAATTCTAGGAACTTCAATTTTTTTTTTCCAATTGCTTTCTTGGTTGATATGAGCCGAATGCCTGCAATTTAATTTGTAGTTTCAACTAATTCAAGCAAGTGTTGCAATAAAATCTGATTTTCATTGGAGTTTAAAAAACAGGTAAACCATTAGTTTTATTGCAAACTAAAGCTAATGCTTTAGGATTGGTATTGTGAGACAACAAAGAGTCGAGGATCCCTCTGTATATACCAACAAATTATATGATTGTATGATGTGTATTGGTGGCTCTCACTTTCGAGTCACGAAAATTTTAAAAATTTGGATTCCCATATTAAAATGCCCAAAAATTTTATTCAGCCCAGAAATTGAAAATTAAGACCAAAAAGGCAAAAAGAGAAAGATTCAAGGACTTGTCACCACCAAATACTTTCTCTTTCACACAAAAAAAAAAAAAGAAAGGGGAATTATATTAAGACCTTCTGAAATTTGTCCTTTAATTATTCAAATTTCTTGATATTTAAAATATTACATACAGATCCTCTGAAATTTATACGCGTGTAACACTTAGACCTCAAATTCCTTGATATTTAAAATATCACACACAGATCCCCTGAAGTTTGTACGCGTGTAACACTTAGATCTCTGATGAAAAATCACTTAATAAATTACATTTAAACCCTCTTAAAATTTATAAGTATATAATACTTAGATCCTTGAGTTTAAAATATTATATTTAGACCAAAAATACTTTAATCAAATATAGAATATTTAATATTTTAAATTTTACAACAAAAATTTATATTTTATTGTATCATTTATTGATATAAAATTAAAATTAAAAATTTTTTTTTTTAAAAAAATCGTAATTAGTATACAATTATAATATATATTGAAATAAAACTAAAAAATCAAACTGTAATTGACACAATATATTTTAACTTTAAATGGGATAGTTCGATATTTAATTGATTATTTAAATGACCAAATTAAATTTTAATAGATAATATAATTATAAATTAATTATAATTTTTTAAGAAAAAAATTAAATTTTTATTTTTGATTTTATTTCAATAAATGATACAATAGAATATAAATTTTGGTTGTAAAATTAAAAATATTTGATATTTTATCTTTGATTATAGTATTTTTATCTAAGTATAATATTTTAAACTTAAAAGATCTAAATATTATATACTTACAAACTTTAGGGAGATCTAAGTATAATTTATTAAATAATATATTTACATTAGGGTCTAAGAAGGACACACGTATAAATTTTAAAGGATTTGTGTATAATATTTTAAATATCAAAGAATCTAAATAATTAAGTGACAAAACTCAGGAGTCCTAATATAATTCTCCCAAAAAAGAAAAACGAAAGAACAACTTTCTCCGTCCTTCCTCCACAATCCTTTTGCATCAACTCCAGAACTTCAGTGAAAACCAATGGATGAAGAATCAAACTTTCCTTGCTATGAATCCAAATTTAAATAAGATACCCACCCATAATTTGAGTCAAACACTATGTCGAGCAGCTGGTGTGTAGCTCTCTTTACCCAAAAATCCAGTTCATAACTCTCACTCAACATTTATTGGGCGAGTTTAGACAAGTCTCGCGTGCCTAACCTCCGGTGCTCGAATGCAAGAAACGATAGGATTCGTAAAGAACCCACACTGCCAAACCTTCACCACCAAATCTCCAACACCCATTGAATTCATAAAGAACCCACACTGTCAAACCTTCACCACCATTGGGTAGTACCAACTCCATCTCAAAATCAATACAAAACTAGTTCATAATTTATAGTAAACACACAAAGGGTGAGGAGGGGGATTTACGAGAAAACAAATACAAATTACAATTGACTATTCATTCAATAAAGTTCAACTATTGCAATACAAACTCAAAGTGGATACACAACAAATCTTTGTTGCAGAACACGATATTGTTAGGTCTTCATCGTTACAATGATTCGTACGGAGAAGAATTTGGAGAAATCTTTAGCCAAAATCCTCCACCGTGACGATTTTTTACCAATTTTTCATCCTCGATATCGTTTGGTCTCCACCTAGCTTCATCGGTGATGTGTCCACAGAGAGAGAGAGAGATGCAAGAACAGAACCAAAAAGCAGGTGAGAAATGTTGTGTGGTAGGGAGATGAAAGATTTACAGAGAGAAAGAAATGGTAATGGAGAAATGGGTTTTGAAAATTTGAAAATTTGAAAGAGTTAAAAGGACAACAGTTGTTGGACCAGCCCCCCAAAAAAATGAATGACCTTTCCTGGAGTGTGCCCCGTTAATTTTCCGTCCATGAGCAAAGCCTGGTTGATGTGCTGGCATTTTTAAAATTTTCTCTGACAAATTAGTGATGGGAAAGGCCTTTATTGGTTGTTCATTCCACGTGGGCAAGGCCAGGTGGTATGTTAAACCCACCCAAAATTTTCTCAGAGCGTTAGCCATTACGACTTATGTGTTTGGCATTTTCGTAATTAAGCGACATATCGGATGTATAGTTTGGTAAATTTATATATCATTTCTGGCTATATATAGAGGCCGAAGGGTAACCAACTTCAGATAAAAGCATTTGATTAGCGTTGGAAGCTAAGAGATCTTTGAAGAACCTTTGTTTTGTATTTCGAGTGATAGAAGAAATGGCTACCGAAGAGGGACAAGTGATCGGTTGCCACACCGTTGAGCATTGGAAACAGCAATTCCAAAAGGCCAATGAGTCTAAGAAACTGGTATGTGTTGACTATTCCTGATTTCTCTGGGGTTATTCTCTTGTACGTGTTTGTTCAGATTCATTTACTGTTAAGAATATGATTGTGCTCTTTTCTATCTTGGGTAGGATTGTTGTTTGATTTTAGTTAATGGGTTGTGCTTGATTTGGGTAATGATGGATTGCTTGGTTGTTTGGATTTGTGTATTTTAGGGTTTGTAAGATAGGTTATGGATTGTATGATGAATAGTATTTTTAAGTTTTTTTATGCTATTGTTTGAAGGTTTATGTGAATTTCATTTGACGGCCTTCGTTTATTGTTCGAGTTGGGCTTTTTTAAAAATTTTATGACGGGGTTTAGCTGTTTTGGTATTTTTAACTTTACGGAGCAGCAGATGTTATATTTCAGTTCATTTAAGTAGGAAAAACTTGGTTACAGATGTGAAAAAAAGCTTTAAACTCTACCGGGGAACAGCTGACCCAATTCTCAGGAAGAGAATTGGATAGTGCCGCAGCTGCCACCCAATGAGCTCTGCCATGCTAAAGGCTCTTGGCTTGTGTAAAAATCTAAGATCTAGGTGTCTGGCATAAGATCTGATATCTTTCACAAAAAACACTTATCTCCCAAGGCGGAACTCCCTCGGTTGAGCTGAACTTGATAACCTCCTGGTTATCACACTCAATTGTGCAAAACCGAAGGTGAGATGCACTAGCAAGTAAGCAGGCCTCTCTTACAGCAGCCGCCTCCGCAAAAATACTCGAAACAGCAGGGACACACTTTCCAGTTCCATCCAAAAGACAGTCATTTGTATCCCTCAATATAACTCCCTATAGCAGCACTCCTCTCTTTGAAAGCTCCATCGCAACTTATTTTAGAAGCAGCAGATGTTGTGGTGTGGAATTCGAAGTACAATTTTTTATTTGCCTGTCCCTTGTCGTCTTGGGAGGGAAAGGCATAAATAAAAAAGAGATTATTCCCAGCCAGCTTGTGCAATGCCCCACTAGTACCAAAAATGCATAAAGACTTCTATGTCAACCGGGAATAACGGCTTTGTTATAAAAAAAGAAAGCTGCTGACAGACTCATTTGGTCGGGTATTTATTCCTAACGAGTGGATTTAGTAGATTAGGTCCCCTCTTATATTCTCCACCCATCTATGGAGGTTTTGTATCCGTCTCAGCTTGGCTTAGATCTCCAGGTCGTTAAGACATTATCACCTTTGTTGGAGTATATATCTGTCAAATTAATGGGGAAAATTTGGGTAATTTATGTTAACAATGTTAACCGGCTCGGTAATAATTTGAAGCTTAAAGCAAAAATATTAAATGAGATTTTTTTTATTTTTAATATTAAATTTTTCAAAAATTAATTTATATTAAATTTTTTATGTTAGAAAAACATAAGAAAAATGCGCTAATAGAAATTTTAACTTTTGTTTTGTCTTTTATGGGAGAAAGTTTTAATTTTAATTTTTTATTTTTTGAGAGAGGGAGGAGGGGTAGATATAAGTTGATTTTTGAGTATTTTTTTATTTTTTTAACTTTTGATTGTTAAAATTTTAATGTTATAAATTGGATCATGGACTCAAATTATTAAATTAAAAATTTTGATTCGATATAATTTTTTGGGGCTGTTTTTAAGGTCTTAAAATTTAATAAATTAATTTTTTTTTGTGGGCTAATAATGTATCTAAAGTTGTAGGAGTCTTCCAAAAATTTGGGCCTAAAACCCAGGCTTATTTTTTAAACTGTTGGGCCGGCCTTGCCCTCAAACTTTGGTATTCCAACAAGGCAACAATTCTGTTTTGGTTATGGACTCCATCTCGATTCTTCATGTGCGTTAAATTGCTATCCTATAAATAGGATCAATCAGAAGAGTCTCACCCGCATTGGAAAGTAGATCTGCGGATGGTTAGCGAACATGGCCTTTCTCATGTATGCTATCTTTTTTATAGGTGGTGGTGGATTTCACAGCTTCGTGGTGTGGTCCCTGCCGTGTAATTTCTCCAATTCTGGCGGAGTTTGCTAGGAGGTTGCCCAATGTCATTTTCCTGAAGGTGGATGTGGATGAACTGCCGGTAAATTAAACTAAGACCCTTCTTTCTGTTACTAATGTTATGCCCCAATATGATACTAGAGGGTTATCGTAGTGAGCACAGCTAATGCTTTGAGATTCCCGTGAATGTTCTTATCTCTGCAGACTGTTTCTGAGGAGTGGGAGGTTCAGGCTATGCCAACTTTCATTTTCCTCAAAGAAGGGAAGATGGTGGATAAGGTGGTGGGTGCTAAGAAAGAGGAACTGCAGGGGACCATAGAGAAGCACCTTACTTCTGTTCTTACTGCTTGACAAGTCATGTGCACTTGTGTTTATGTTGTTGTCCGTGGTGGAGCTGCAAGTCATTTGAACTTTTTTTTTTCCTTCTTTTGTGTGTATTTTTGTTTGCTTATGTATTTTTTATTGCGGTGTGTTTGTGTTTGTGTTTGCATTTGTGTCTCTGTATTTTGTCTATCAGATGAATAAAAAGTGACTAATCAAATCAGGTCCAGTTTATAAACAAAATACAGATGTATAACATAGAATTATATAATCTTGTCATTGGACTAAAAAGAAAAACAAAAGACAACCACTAAAAGGGAAACAGTTTATGTCTCTCTATATGAGAGCTGCTTATCAAAAATTGAATATTTCTCACCAAAAATTTTTTACCAAGTTTTTCATTTTAAATGATGTAATATTATTTTTACCATCAAATAACTGAGTCTTATTAATATTTAATGATGAAAATTATGTCACGTCATTTGAGAAAATAAATCTAATTAGAAACTTAATAAGAATTAACATTATTGTTATAAAAAATTGATAATGCCAACATGCAGGTATAAAGTCACATTCAAAATTAGAGGATTCAGATATATTTCTAAAAAAAAAATATTTATATAATAAAGTATAATACAATTCAAATCTTATAAAATAAATAAAATAATTTTTACTTTTCGCAATTGAAATCTTTTTAAATTTTACGTTATAGTTAATTCGAAGGTTAAAATTAATATTTCAAATTTAATATGAAAAATAGACCCTTAAGGGTATGTTTGCAATAACTTTTGAAAAATGATTCTAAAACTTATAATTTAACATAAATACTTAAAAAAAAAAAATTATTTAAAACCGTTCTCCTACCACCACCACCATCATCATTATCTCTGTCACAACAATTAGTACCACTGCCACCGCTGTTGTAGTCACCCCACCACCATCATCACTGCATTACTATCATCATTGCCATTGCTGCTGCCATCGTACCACTACAGCGCCCCCCCCCCCCCCCCCCCCCCCCCCCCCCCCCCCCCCC